ATAGAAAAAATCCGGAAGATTTGCCGCGTAGGGAAGGCGCCCGCTGCCGTGGCCTAGGTTTCTCACTGAAAATCCTCGTCCCCCGGCGGCACCTTTTTTTTTGAATTTTCTTCCTTTTCAACGCCGTTTTTCGGGAATTTCGGATTTTCTTTGAATTTTTTCGCAATAATATTTGAAAAATAGATAACTTTTAACACATTTTAATGCAATAAAAATTTTTGTCGGAGTCCCCCTTTAATATCATTTGGTCTTCATTATGCGCTAAGAGTACGATTCGTGAAGAAGTTTCTCTTAATTTTAGTTCTATGTTTCGCCGAAATGAACCTCGTTTTAGTACGCGCTCTTTTATTTAAGCCTACCGTAAAACCTGTATTAGAAGAGCCGGCCCTTCTATTGTTCCAAGGTACCTCCGGAGGACCCTTCCATTACAGGGGCCCTTCACTTAGAGGGGGCTCTTCTATTTTTCCGGTCATTTTTCCCGAAAATTTCCATCGGACAAATCGACGATTTTTCGTTCAAAAGTCATGAAAATCAGTCAATTTCATCAAAATTAATCACGTTTTTGAGCGAAAAATAGTGTTACAACAAATTTCTATTAAATTTTACAATTCCTGGAATATTTTTCACTGAAAACGTACGGAAATTTTTCAATTTCACGACATATTTTGAAGGGGGGTTCTTATTAATTATTTACAGAGGGCCCATCTATTAGAGTGGCCCTTCTATTAAAAAAGCCCTTCTAATACAGGTTTCACGGTATACTGAAAAAGTTATTTGTTTCAATATCTACTCTCTCTGATAACATGTTTCTTAGAAACTTGCGGTCCGTTGCAACGCAACTGTTTGCAAGCATCAATTTTCGATTACTGTATTTCTATCCTATTTTTTTCAGTGATGAAGAAATGTTTCGATTTCTCGATGGCTACACTATCCAGCGTAACGACGGTGTGAAGACAACGATTCAACGATTCGGTATCCGACATTTTGCTATGAATGTTTGGCTTGACACGCTGTTCCAAAGAGTTCTCTGAAAATTTCTCTAGTCAGATGCATCCAACCAATGTAAAATTTTGTGTGAAAATAATACTTATTTTTGTCTACCATCTGACCAAATTTCAATGACATCGTACAATCTGTAGTGTGGCGTTACATCAATACAAATCAGAAAACACCGGTGGGCATTTGTCTAAAGATATACCTGTTGTCATTTGTGCGGGTAATTATGCGCTAGCAATCATACATGAGCGAATTGAAAAATTGAAGATTCCTCGAAAAAGTAGACTCCTTGATTACAAACCCCTTATTTTTCCAGATTTTCCAGATTTTCCGAGCGAACGAATTCTTCCAGAAGCAAAAAATGTCCCACATTTATCTAAACCCGAATAAGAGATAGGATGAAGAAAACGCGATGAAGAAGATGAATTAGGATGAGTTTGTTTATATTTTTGCTATTTTCCAAGACATTTTTTTTCTTCCTTCCTTCTTCATTTTGCTCTCGGTTCGTCGTTTTTTTCAGCCAGCCTCAGCCAAGAAAATAAACCAAAACTCTCACAATGGATGACACAAATCCAATTGGTTCTCTTCAGACTCGTTCGAAAATTTTCTTCCGTTTTTTCCAGTTTCACCCAATTCATCGATGATTTTGGGAAGAAGAAATATACGTTTGAACCATTGAGAATTCGTGATTACCGTATTCGCTCTAATACAGAAGACCACCTTACATATGCTATTTAAGCTCAATTATCTCGATTCCAATGAGAGATATGAAAAACTTGTCAACTGATAAATTAATTATCAAAATATCACCAATATTTTATCAGTTTACAATTTTCGATATCTCTTACAGAAACTGAGATAATTGAGGACAAAGTAACATAATACACCGTAAAATGCCCCTCCCCCAAGCAGTCTACTTTGATGCAATTTATCTCGATTCCTATAAGAAATATGAAAAACTTGCCAATTGATAAACTTTTTATCAAGATATCACCAATATTGTATCAGTTGACAGATTTTTGATATCTCTTATATGAACCGAGATAATTTAGATCAAATTTTAGATATCCAAACACCGAAGTTTCTCGACCAATCTTTTGACCCTTCATCTTTTATAGTTATTCCTCTCATAGTCAGGGTTTTTTTTCCTTTTGTCAGACAACTTTTTCTTTTTACTCTTTCTCTTGTCTGGAACACTCACACAGACATGAGGATTCTAATTGAATATTCAACGGGGACGGGAGACACGGGACACACACACGCATGTCATTCACTTAAGAGTTACAATGAGATATGTGCACACCTGATTGAGTTTCGGGAGGAAAAAAGAGCAAAAAGTATTTTTTTTTTCTAGTTATTGCTGTCGTGTTTTTGTAAGTTATTTCGTCGATCAGTTTTGAGAACGTAGATTTTTGAAATACCGCATTTCCTCGAATAGAACGATCCGCGTAATGTCAAGTTTGATCCAATTTATCTGGATTCCTGTAAAAGTTATCAAGAAGGGACGAATTGAAAAAATGTTGCTGATATTATGATAAACATTTTGTCAGTTTTTAATTTTTTGATATCTCTCACCGGAACCGAGTTAAATAAAATCCAAGTAGACAATAAGCGGGCCCAGGTCCTGCGGTATACTGTATCTAAAGCTGTAACTCCGAGACCTAGACCCGGAATTTTTTCCCTTAAACGTCACTGAGAACAACCATGTTTTTTTGGTAGGATAACTTATGTGTTATATATTTGATGCCTTCAATTTTGGGTTGTGATGTATTATGTTTCGTTTTTGGTTTTGAAACTATTAGGATAGATTTTAAACATGACGAATAAACATCTTTACATTGTCGACTTTGAGCGCGTTTATCTTGATTCTTGTGCAAGAAATCAAAAAGTGGTCCACTAACGAAATGTTTATCATAATATCACCAATATTTTGTCAGTTTACCACTTTTTGATATCTTTCAAAGCAACTGAGATAAATAGGCTTAAAGTTAAATGTTTGAGGGAGAGGCGTTCTATTAGAATCGTTACTGTAAATTGAATCGAAGTATGGGACCTTTTCTATTACAGGTTTTCCAGCGCATGTTGGTTTTTTTAATTTTTTAAACGCAAATTAACGTTTTTACGCCCAAAAGAAAAACTGTGAGAGATTACTGTAGAAAAAATTGTTAGCGTACAACAAGCCGCCAACTTTGAACCCATGTATCTCGTTTGTGTAATAGATATGAAAAAGTGGTCAACTGACAAAATGTTAATCATATTATCAACAACATTTTATCAGTTGACCACTTTTAGATATCTCTCATAGGAACCGAGGTAATTGAGCTACGAGGTCGCACCATACTGACTCAAGATCTTACTGTAAAAGTACGCCCGTTCCCTTTCCCGTTCATTTGATTCTCTTTTTTCTTCATCTTCATTCATTTTCATTTTCCAACAATGACATGAAAACAATTCTCTTTATTTTCCGCTATTTTTCCGATTCCCCTTATTCTTATTACGTAGACGCTCCTCGCGCTTTTCCCCTGTTTCCACATCGATGCTCCTTTTCGGGATTAAAGCGAAAAATAAAATTCAGGAAAATAGAAAGGGAAGGTTTTTGTTTTTGTGTAATAGGTGTGAAAAATAAATGAAAAGGAATCGAGATGCAAGAATTAAGGATGTGTCCCCTACTAGAGTTATTCAGGTCTCTAGATTATTAGTCACAGTGTTCCAGTTTTTTGAGTCATTCAGGGAAATTTTTTGTGCTCTCTCGGAGCAATTTGATTGGAGCATACAAATTGTGCCATACAATTTATACGGGTGGTCTGAAAACATATGCATTTCTGGGATTTTTATTACTAAAAAATAACCAATCTTGTGGCAACGAATTTTTTGGATTTTCTTGAATCAGGCAGACCTGTAATTTTGATTTATTGACGTCTAGACAGGATATCAGAATTACAGGGTTGGAACTAAAAGTTAGTCATGTGAAGAAGATTCTAAATTTGAAGGTACCCATTTAGCAAGAGCTGGGATTTTTAGGCGCTAGCTAGGATCTAGGATCCCTGAGAGCTCTAGAATCCATAAAGCTCGTGGAATAAATAGGATGTAGGATCTATGGGATCTGGGATCTATGGGATCTAAGATCTATGGGATATAGGATCTATGGGATCTAGAATCTATGGGATTTAGGATCTATGGGATCTAAGATCTAGGATCCATAGGGTCTAGGATTCATTAAAAAAATCTAAATTCCATTAACCCTAGACTCATCCGAATTCATCCCCCGGAACTCTTTTGCTCACTGAACTCCTATTCCTTTATAAAATTTATATAAAGTATACGGCCGTTTTCTTATATTTTATGACTCCCTAAACCACCCACTACCCCAATCATAAAAAAGAAGTTCTTCTCCCATCCATCCATTATTCTCCTTGCTCCGCCGTCCCACATCATCCGGTCACATCAATTCTCCTTCATCTTCCGAGAATATGTCCCCGTTGTGCTTTTCTTCCGTTTTCGCTGACCCCCCGTCCATCTGACCCAACATCCCGCGTGAGCATCATCATCATCATTATGCTCCTTGGGAGATCTTGTTGCAGAAATTTCATTCTGAGAAAAATGTTAGATATGGTCTTTGGCATCTTTTTGTTCTAGGTTTTTTACTAAAACGAGACTATATATTGAAAACTTGGCCCAGAAATGATGAGACGTTCTTGGAAAATCCAAAACTTTTTTTGGGTGTTTTGACTCGATTTGGCGAAAAAAAACATTTTTCTCAAGAATACGTAGCATCCATTTTTTCTTATGTAGACCGAAAACAGATTTCTAGGAAATGAAATGTTCCAATTCGGAGGATGTTCCAAATTTGATGTTTGATACTTTTCGGGTTGTTTTTCGCGTTTTTTAGGGGAAATGATAATTCTAGATTTGGTGAATTTTAAGGAGGAAGTTTGGAGTATTCAAAAACATCTAACGAACAATAGTTTTCTTTAAAAACTGTAATAGAAGGGACCCTCACTTTGAACCAGTTTATCTCAATTCCTGTAAAAGATATCGAAAAGTCGTCAACTGATAAAATGTTTATCATAATATCACCAATATTTTATCAATTGACACATTTTTGATATCTTTCATAGGAGCCGAGATAAATTTAGTCAAAGTTAGACCTCTTTTCTATTTGCAAGTTTTACGGCAGTCCATATTGTCAAGTTTGAGCTCGTTTATCTCGGCTCCTGTAAGAGATATCAAAATTTTGAAACTGATAACATATTTATCACATTATCATAAATATTTTATCAGTGGACAGATTCTGAGTATCTCTTATAGGAACCGAGATAATTGAACTGAAAATAGACTAATCGGGCTTCTGAGAGAAAAGTAGGTATTGGTCAAAATGCGATTTCAAAATGACCATTTTAGTCAAAAATGGTCAACTTTGGATATCAAAAAAGATACTTAGTACCTGTCCGTTTTTTTTCCTGAAAATTTCAGAAAACATAAATCAAAAATAGATCTCTAATTTTGTAGTTGATAACTTTTTCGTATATTCACTTTTACAAGTTGGAGTTTCGAACTGGAGGTATGTACTGTATCTCTGCAGGAATTGATTTTCCAAACAAATTGTCCACTACAAAAATATATCTCTATATTTGGTCTATAATCTCTAAAATTTTCAGACCGAACGGGCAAGTACTAGGTACTTATTCCGACACTGAAACTGGGGTACCTTAAAATCTCTAACAGGGCCCAGCGCATTGCCAAGTTTGAGCTCAATTATCTCAATTCCAAGATATCGAAAGTGTGTCAACTGATAAAACACTTCCTACATTATGATAAGTAATTTATCAGTTGACCGCGTTTTGATATCTTTGACAGGAACCGAGTTAGAGGTCGTTTTATTTTAGGTTTTACTGCATCTGCTATTTTTCGTAAATTTTAAGTTCCCAGACACTTCTTTTAACGTTCAACCTCAATTTTTTGTGCTCATCCATCCATTTCAAAAATTCCCATTTCAGAGTCAAAAGTCATTTTATAACATTCTCTTGCTCCTCTTTCTCTATTTGCCCTTCTCGCCCCCATCCAATTTTCGCCGAGATTGACTCTGAAGATTGTTTCTATCCTTCCTATCTGATTCCATTCGATTTAATTGGGTCTCCAGCGCCAGAGCCTTTTCATCCCAACAAGTGGCACAAAATTAGCTTCGAGATTCTTTTTTTCCAACCCCAGACCCTTGAAAAATGCACTTCTGCAAAAAAAAATTTCGAGAAAAAAATGCGCACGTACTCAACATTTTTTGAATAAATTCAATTTTGGCATCCTTCCGGTAATATGTTTACCAACATTTTTTTTTTCTTCATTTTTTTCACATTTTTTTTTGAAAAAATGAAATTTTTCAAAGTGCGAATGTAGGTGGATATAACCTGCTGAACATTGATCAGTTTCGAATTGAATTTTGGAAAAATAAAAAATAAAAAATGTTTTTTATTTTGAGAAACTTTTATGGGGGTGGTAAGTGAAGCGGAAGAGAATATACCTAAACAAGTTGGCCTTTTATAGGTGAACTTTGGAATTTTAGAATCCTTAAAATCCTTAGAATGCTCAGAAATTAGGAGTTTTAGAATCTCAGGATCTCAGAATCTCAGAATCTCAGAATCTCAGAATCTCAAAATCTCAGAATCTCAGAAACTTAGAATCTTATAATCTCAGAATCTCAGAATCTCAGAATCTCAGAATCTTAGAATCCTTAGAATCTTAGAATCTCAGAATCTCAGAATCTCAGAATCTCAGAATCTCAGAATCTTAGAATCCTTAGAATCTTAGAATCTCAGAATCTTAGAATCCTTAGAATTTCAGAATCTCAGAATCTCAGATTCTCAGAATTCCAGAATCTAGAATCCTTAGAATCTCAGAATCTCAGAATCTTAGAATCCTTAGAATCTCAGAATCTCAGAATATCAGAATCTCAGAATCTCAGAATCTCAGAACATGAGAACTTTAGAATCCTTAGAATCTTAGAATCTCAGAATCTTAGAATCCTTAGAATCTCAGAATCTCAGAATCTCAGAATCTCAGAATCTCAGAATCTCAGAATCTCAGAATCTCAGAATCTCAGAATCTCAGAATCTCAGAATAACAGAATAACAGAATCTCAAAATCTCAGAATCTCAGAACATGAGAACTTTAGAATCTCAGAATTTCAGAATCTCAGAATCTCAGAATCTCAGAATCTCAGAATCTCAGAATCTCAGAATTTTAGAATCTCAGAATATCAGAATTTCAAAATTTCGGAACTTTAATATTTCTGAATCTCAGAACATCAGAATCTGGGAACTTTAGAACTTCAGAAATTCCCCAGATTTTGTTTTAAATTTTTTTGTCGTTGTTTTAAATTTAGTCACTCTAAAGTTCTATGGACCAAACCAAATCTTCGAAACTAAAATAATGAACAAAAGCTTCATAAATCAAGAATTCCGATATCGTAAAATTTGGTTTTTCGAGAATTTATGTAGACAATTTGAGTGATCCAAAAGAATATGCCCATCTTTTAGTCCTCCTCTAATTAGCCATCCGAAATCCTCAGTTTTTTTCATTCTAAAATTCTTATTGGCTTTCCTGAAAAACATGACCTCATCTTGAATTCCTGTACTCTCTGTTCAATGAACCAAGTAAAACTTCAGAGTTCATCTTTTTTTTTCTACTTTCGCTTTCTTAATTGCTGCTCTCCTTGTCACGCTCCATGAGCCTCACTTCTCAATTGTTTTTCACTATGTCCATCTGAATCCTTGAACTAGACCTTCTGAACTTTCTTCGATTATCTTCTCGCCTCTCTATCCTCATTCATTTATTTTCAAAATCCTCTTCTGAATCCTTGGACTAGATCTGCTGAAGTTCACGATCTTCTTTCCCAGAACAGATGCGATCACTGTTTAGACACATTAAACCACACATCCTTCCTCCTAATAGATAATCCATTAGATTGCTCAGTGAACTCTCCGGAAATTACGACGACGACGACGGCTGAAATTTTAATTTGTGAGAGAAATTTTCTGGCACGTGTTCTGATGTCTAGGTCAGAACTCGAAAGATGGTTCTGAGGGATAAAAAGGTTTCAAAGGCGACGTGATTCTAAGATTCTAAGATTCTAAAGTTCTCATTTTCTGAGATTCTGAGATTCTGAGATTCTGAGATTCTGAGATTCTGAGATTCTGAGATTCTTAGATTCTTAGATTTTGAGATTCTGAGATTCTGAAATTCTGAGATTCTGAGATTCTGAGATTCTGAGATTCTGAGATTCTGAGATTCTGAGATTCTGAGATTCTGAGATTCTGAGATTCTGAGATTCTGAGATTCTGAGATTCTGAGATTCTGAGATTCTGAGATTCTGAGATTCTGAGATTCCGAGATTCTGAGATTCTGAGATTCTGAGATTCTGAGATTCTGAGATTCTGAGATTCTGAGATTCTTAGATTCTGAGATTCTGAGACTCTAAGAATCTAAAGTTCTCATGTTCAGAGATTCTGTGGCTCTGAGATTCTGAGATTCTAAAATTCTAATTTTCTAAGTTTCTGGGATTCTAAGTTTCTGAAATTTTGAGATTCTGAGATTCTGAGATTCTGAGATTCTGAGATTCTGATATTCTGAGATTCTGAGATTCTGAGATTCTGAGATTTTAAGGATTCTAAGATTCTGAGATTCTAAGGATTCTAAGATTCTGGGATTCTGAGATTCTGAGATTCTGAGATTCTGAGATTCTGAGATTCTGAGATTCTAAGGATTCTAAGATTCTGAGATTCTGAGATTCTGAGATTCTGAGATTCTTAGATTCTTAGATTTTGAGATTCTGAGATTCTGAAATTCTGAGATTCTGAAATTCTGAGACTCCGAAATTCTGAGATTCTGAGATTCTGAGATTCTGAGATTCTGAGATTCTGAAGTTCTGAGATTCTGAAATTCTGAGACTCCGAG